ATGTACTGGCTGTTTAACAGGCTGGGTTGGATACATTCTGCATCCCTCCTGCCTCTTGCTTGTTTCAGGATTTAGGTCTAATGGGCTCTACAGCACACAGGGCCTTAACTAAAGGTTAAAGGTTCTGTATTCCTACCAACCCTCACCGTCCCAAGCCATCCATTTCAGGTACAACATAGCTTGAATTTAACAATCAATAAAACTTGACATAGTATGTCTTAGGGTGTGAAATCATTTTCTCCAAGCTGACCAAGATGTCAAAGATGATTCAGTTTATGCATTTCCTTTTAGTACCCAGGAATTGGAAATAACACTTTTTTCACTCAGAATTTATTTTGACATTAAATTGTCTTCAGATTAAAAGTGAACTCCGTGAGGTTTGCAATTGGGCTTTTTTTATGCAGTTGTTCTGTGTAGTTGTGCTCAAGTAGAAGAATCATCAACTTAATTTTTATGTATGGTTTTCTTTGAGAGAGTAAAAACACTAGTAGAAATAGCGAAATAAATAAATCACCATTGAGGTAAAGGTACCGATATCAATCTAAGGTATTTATAGAGCGTCAATCAACTTAGTATTTAGGAGGTGGTGTAATCCATTGCTCAAACAGACAAAGCCTGTCTTTCAATGGTTTTGGAGAAAATTGGGTATGTTTAAGTGACATCAATTGTCCAGCAAGTTATAAATGTTACATGTGACTAATGCTTTGAATATGTGGCCCGACCCCAAGGTCCTTACCCAGTCATAATCCCATCGAAGTCCATGTACATACCGCCTGTGTACAGCAAGATCTCTTTTTTTTTTCTAAGTAATCTCTTCTAGAGAAAATATTAGGATATTATTTTTTTTAAATCAATACAGCATTTTAGTGTGTTGAAGGTTTAAGTAAGTGCCCATAGACAGGGGATTATTATGTCTTTGTGGTTGAAATAGTGCAGTGGTCTACAAATTAAGTAGCTGAAGTTCATAACCCACATCCATACTAGAGTCAAAAGATTAAATTGATAATTGTAGGATTGCTTTGGGGAAAACAAACAAACAATTAAACCCAACAAAAAAAATCCAGCACGGGACTCAAATCTCCCTGTGTTGTTAGTTACAATACATGGTTTTATATAGAAGAGATGGGTAAAATTCTGATTCCAACAATGCCTTTCACTGTGGGCAAATAGCAGCAACTAGCCCCCTGCTTTATCACATATCCCATCCAAAATACAATGGGGTAAAAATCTCTATGGAATACCTGTGGGATCCAGTGAGAAGTAGGAGACAGACTGCCAGTAATTTCTCTACCTCCCTCACTTCTGTAGCCCCAGCAGGTGTGCATGGAGGGCCTTTCTGTCTGAATTTAAACCCCTGTGCTTCTTTAATAATACTGTTGCCACTTTTGGTCTGAGTGATTAGCCAATATTCAGGAATTCTTCTATTAATTTAGTGGCATCAACCCATTATGCTGGGAGTTAGGTTATAAATGTTTTTTTCACAGCCCTGAGTGACTTAGGCCTGGTCTACACTAGACAGTTAGGTCGGTTTAATTAGATTGGTCAGGGTTATGAAAAATCCACCCTGCTGAGCAGTGTTGTTAAACCGACCTAAGTCCCTGTGAAGACTGCACTAGATCAATGGAAGAATTCTTCTGTCAACCTCGCTTCCGCTTCTTGGGGAGGTGGATTACCTATACCGTACTGACAAGAGAGTCCCTCCTGTCAGCATAGGTAGTGTCTATACTAAAGTGCTACAGCAGCTCAGCTGTAACGTTTTAAGTGTAGACAAGCCCTTAGCTAGGTCAGTCTCATTTTTAAATATAGATCAGGCCTTAGACACGCACAACAAGTGAGTCACCAAGTCATATAGAGAGTCTGAGAAAGAGTTGGAATTGAACCCCTGTCACTTTGAAACCACTCTAGTGCCTTAGCCACTACACCGTGCTGCATCTCTGTATTGGAAGACGAGACAATTTGGGACTATAAAAATTTACATTCTGCAGAAATGGAGGGTTTATTTATTTAGTGTGTGTGTATGTATGTGAGCTAATCTTGATGCAGTAGCTGGATCCTGTGTAGCCACATTTGAATAACAGCCAAGGCCCCCTCCTCCTTCTACAGGTTCTCACTTAAATACCTCGCAATCATGACTGGTGTGCATTTGCTATGTACCGATATTCCTCTCTGAGTTGATTTTCCTTGCAAAGAAGTATGCTGCATTTATATCTATATCATTTAGTAGTTTGTATAATGTGTTTACTTTTAAGTCATTAGCTTCAATTACCACAAGAGAGATTTTCTTAAGGATATAAGTGATCCACTGTTTTTAGCAAATGCCACTTCTGAATATTGGTAATTTGCCTTGTGCTTTTATGCTATAATGTTAAATGTTGCAGAAGAGAAACACACACACACACACACACACACACACACACACACACACACACACACCTCTACTTAATTTTT